ATTATCTGCACACATAATACTCATAATAGCTATTAAACTCATAATAAAATATCACTTATCATATTGGCCTTTATAATAGGTGCGTTCGTTTAAAATCTCCAGCAGAAACCAACCAACTGCCAAATTCCGGCGAAATGTCATCTGTTCGCTCACAAGAGAGAAATATCCAAAATAGTACGCGAACAGAAAATTTGCAGAAACTTGCAAGTTAGACGAACAGCTGATATAATTTTTGTTTACATTCAAAAGTGTAAAATTTAAAACGTACGAAAAGTTATCACAAAATGTTATACTGACCGGTTTATTGATTAAAAAAATAACTACTTATTTCTTACAAGTTTAATTAGTCGAATTTTGTAATTTTTAACTTCCAAACCATCAAATTCAATTTTGTGATTTGCGTAAATGCCAACCAGCTGGTTTTGATCAGCTGTTTTCCTGTTGGCAAATTGCTGTTGGCAAAAATTTTTCCAGCAGAAACCAGCAGCTTCCCCTCGAAATGAAATGTCACTTTGCTCTCTCAATTTCCCCTACTTTGCAAGTTTTTTGCGTACGCGAACGCAAAAACTTGTAAGTTTTGGTTAAACATGAACAATTAACAGCTACGCGAACGAACCTAATATTCTTACGCTTTGAACATCTGGCAATACATTTCGAAACGTATTCTGGCAACACGTTACTCACACGTGCGGCCATCTTCGTTTCGGTCATTGTCCATAAATACATTCATACATACTTGGTTCGTTCCTTATCTTTTTGGACTAAAATCTGAAAAGTGTCAAAATGCCAGAGCGTAAGCAAAATGCGCTCACTAAAAGAGAATAACAGGAAAAGTAAATGAACGCAAAAAACCAAATTTTTAGTCCAAAGAATGGCGACAACAAAACTAACGTCAAATAAGAACAGAAATGTATGTACAAAACACATTCACACAAGCACAAGCACAATAAACACTTGCTATATCAATTATTTTTTGCCTTCTTCCAATTTCAATTCATTTCTTTTACTTTTTAGATTATTCTCACTTTTAGCGTATTCTTTAATTTCCGTTAATTTAAAACAATTGAGTTTGAACTTTTCAGGATTTTGCCAGAAAAAATTCTTCTGACTAAATCTGACTACTTCGAACTGATGAGAGTCACTCTCACTGACTGTTGCTCTCTCATTTTTGCTGTCATTTCCGAGTTAAGGAACGCTTTTTGGACTAAATCTGACTACTTCGGACTTTTTCTGACTATTTTTGGGAGATAAGGAACGCTCCTACTATTTCGGCTGTCTAATGGAAAATAAACAAATTATAAAAAAGATAAACGTTCAAATAGCTTAATTTAGTTGAAATGTTTGTTTTCTGCACACTTGTATTTGTTTGAAATGGTTTGTTATCGTACATTTTGTTAGGTGAAACAACAAATTACTCGTAAACTATGAGTTTCCCCGCCGTCCGGTTTTCAGTTTTGTGATGTGTACGACCCCCCTCTACACCCCCCATAAAGTCATGGTCTTCAAAGCGTCCCTACAAGAACAGTGATAGTCATTTGATTGATCATGTTATACTGGTGATGGAGATCTCAATCAAGTACTTCTATCAACTTTTTAAGAGCAATATGCAAAACGTGATGTAAACATTTGTGTACATGTGATCTTCCGTCTTCCTCCAACTTATTGCCTTATTTAGTGGTCTCTTTTTAACCAACGCAAAATTTGCAATTGTGTTAGTAAGATAAATGAGAATCAGCCCTATTCTGCATTTCGATTACGTTCCCGCATTCCGCTCCGCTGGAATCGAACTTAGGTATTCTGCGTTACGATCGAAACGAAAGAAGAAGAGGAAGAGAGAAAACATCTTTCGAAATCAGCTGTTTGCCTAGGAATGTGTGAAATCGAAACAAAACAAAGAAATATTTGCCACCAAACTATAGCAGCATATGAAGTTAAAGTTTGTAAATATTTTAAAATAACTAAATATGTATATCTAGCATCACTGTAATTTAAAAGTAAAATTGGGTTGGCTTTCCTTTATGGCCGTTCGTTAAAGGGGCGGTGGGCGAAAAGTAAGTGAGCGTGGCACCTCTCACCTTTTTGGAGAGGGAATGAACCGCCATTGACAAAAATGCAACCCCCGACGACCTAGGTCCCCTATGGTTTCCTAGGGACCCTTTCGAAAAATTGCCAAAAATCACAATTTTCATTTGCGTTTATTCGCTTGAAAAATGTTAAATATTCATTTGCACAATACATTTTTATACACACATTTTTATATACAAGACATTTTTATAAAACCCCCAGTAACCAAAATAGACATCACTGGGGCGGCAGCCCCAGGTTTACCACACAGAAAGGGAATTCTAGTTACCTCATCCTTTCCCAAGGTTACATCACTGGGGCGGTAGCCCCAGTTAGGTCACACAGAAAGGAAAATTCTACGTAGTAAGGGATATAATCCCTAAGCGCGGCCGAAGGCCGCATATAAAAAGAATAAATTGTATTCAGTGCATTTCAGTCTTATTTATAGGTAATGTAAACAAAAACGCCTGTACTTTGTACTTTTGGTTGCCATTATCTGATCCAATTTTTCGTATTGCCCGTATTACCGCTCGCGAAAACACAGAAATCGACAAAATTCATTTATGATGACTTACACAGTATATTTTACTTAAATTTTTTATAAAATTTTATCATTTAAACCCACGAAAATAACAATGGAAACGTCCTCCGTCAACAAATTTGCAACTTAGACAAGTAATTTTTAGCAAAAAAAAAAACCGACTTCAACTCTCATATATAAATATATATATATATATATATATATCTCATGATCCACTGATCGGATCTTAATCAAATTAGTATGGGACCACCTCCGAGACACTACCTTTCCGATGCATCGAAATCGGTTGACGTGGTCCAAAGTTATGCGGTAACATACATAAAAAAAAAAAAAACAAGTAAGAAAGTCTAAGTTCGGGCGGAGCCGAACATTAAATACCCGGCGCAAGTATTAAATATATGTTGTTCACCTTTCCGAAAGCTACCGCTACATGATAAGCCGGGGTGTATACATTTTAAGTAAATTAGCGTCCTTAAATTTCGAAATATTGAAATTTCAAGCATATCTGAAATTTACCGTTATATGAAAAGGGGCCTCAATTTTAGTCCGATTTCAACAATTTTCAACGGTTTGCTTTTATGTGGCAAGCACAATAACCATACCGAGCTTGGTACAAATTGCTAGAACGGTTAGCGAGATACATATATGTGATCACAAGTGGGCGGTGCTACGCCCATTTTCCAAAATTTTGTCATAAACGTATTTCTTGGTAAAGAATTGTAGCAATCATCAATTTTGAATAAATTAGCTTCAATATTTACTGATTTATCGAAGATTTTGTATTTCTCGAAATTACCGTTATATGGGATGTAGGCGTGGTTATTGTCCGATTTTAGAAATTTTCAGCCAGTTGGTATGCTGTACCAGGACCAACAACTGTGCCAAGTTTGGAAGAAATTGGTGTAGCGGTTACCAAGATATACACATGTAACCATAAGTGGGCGTGGCTACACCCATTTGCCAAAATTTTGTAATATTCTTATTTTTCGTCTAAAACTCATTGCAAATATCAATTTTGAGTGAATTATCTTCAGTAGTTACTAAAGTATCGCAGTTTTCGTTTTTCTGAAAATTACCGTTATATGTTTGGAAGAAATTGGTGCAGCGGTTACCTAGATATACACATTTAACCATAAGTGGGCGTGGCTACGCCCATTTTTCAAAAATTTATAATATTCATGTTTTCCGTCTGAAACTCATTGTAAGTATCAATTTTGAGTGAATTATCTTCTGTAGTTACTAAAATATCGCAGTTTTCGTATTTCTTAAAATTACCGTTATATGGGAGGTAGGCGTGGTTATTATCCGATTTGGCCCATTTTCAATACCATCCGTCCCACGCCCAAAAGAAGTTCACGTACCAAGTTTCGTTAAGATATCTCAATTTTTACTCGAGTTATCGTGTGCACAGACGGACGGACGGACGGACGGACGGACGGACGGACGGACGGACGGACAGACAGTCACCGCTTAATCGATTTCTCTTTTCATTCTGATCATTTATGTATACATTTGTCTATATCTATCTCGATTCGTTTTGCCTGTTACAAACAACCGTTATGTGAACAAAGTTATAATACCCTTGTGCACAAGTGCGCTCGGGTATAAAAAATATTCCGACGAACTGATAACCTCCTCCTTTTTTGGAAGTCGGTTAAAAAACGGAACTGCGATCGAAATGTAGAATACCAAAGTTGCCAAACGGAGAAAATTTCGGTTCGAGTCGAAATGCAGAATAAGGCTAAGGGCCGGGTACTCAATGTCTGGTTAACACTAATCTCCGGTTAAACATCGTTATCGACATTACCGACTCCCTGTTGTATGCATGGAGTCGATGACGTTGATAACGATGTTTAACCGCAGATTAGTGTTAACCAGATACTGAGTAACCGGCCCTAAATGTGTTAGTTTCCATCACACAATTCTTGTAAGGGTAGTGCACTCTCGCGAAGTCAACCCAAATAGAGCTCTAAATCTAGCTCCAAAACTTCAAAATGGCAACACTGCCTTAGACATATGAAAACTTTACTAGTTACATGTATAATTAATATGTACCATTGGATATGTACATATGTATCTATATACATTTTGTTTTTATTTTTGTATACCATCTTTATAGTACTAGGCCTTATATGTATATGTACATACATACATGCATAAATAACTCCTAATCAACGGTAGCTCAGAAATGGCCAATTTTACCTTGATTTGGAAAGCAGGCGATATATGTATATGTACAAATGTATTTACGCGCATATATGCATATATAATATATGTACATATATGCTTATTTTGGAATAGTATATCCAAGTACAAAACTTCGCGAAGAGATATGTATGCAAGTATATTATGTATTATTCAATACAAATTTGTTAGGTAAGGCTTATTTACTTACCCAATTTAATTTTATAAATCTTTGTAATTGAAAGAAGTTACAGACAGACGAATTAAGCTCCTGAAAAGAAATTACTTTTCGAACATAAAATGATTTTTTCATCAATTTGCTTACTTGGCAAAGTTGTTGCGGGGTGATGTGTAGGTCCGCAAGCAGACGAAATAGTTCAGCAAGCGACGAAATACGGAAATTTGTTTGCCACACAAATACTATGAGTGCTAAATTCCCCAAAAAGCTCAAATTTTTGTTGCAAAAAAAGGAAATGGATCTTAATTAAAACAATATAAATCCACTTGGGCGATACTTTGCTAATAGACAGTCCGTTTATTATATTTTGACAGATCGTATCAGCTGATCTTTCCAATTTCATTGTGAATGGGTACTGTTCAAGCCAAATGTCAATAAATTCGAACAGCAAAGACAACAACCTTTTTGGTGAAGCAATTCAGCAAGGAAGTTGGGACGCTCTTACAAAAGTATTACTCAAAATCGGTGATTAAAAAGTTATTAGAAATATTCACTACAGTGCTTCGGGTAATGAACAAAGTCAAATGGTAAAAACCCGTGAAAAAAATATAAATAACATTTATATGCAAATACAAACATTATGAAAACAAAACAGATCGACATTATACGCACATACATATACTTAAATTACGAGTGTTCTCGTACAAAAAATTATATTACCCGACTTATATTTAGGTTTGAGCTAAACTTGAAGTTGAGTTGAGAACGAAGGTACTGTTTTTCCAACGTTGTTTGTCAACAGTACCTCAAGTGGATTATCATAGCGTTCTCAACAAAAAGGGCACTTTTCTTTGTATAAAAATCGAACTGCTTCTCAAGTTGAGAAATGCTAGTTCTCAACTTGAACTTCAATGTGATTCTCCAATTGATCTCAAACATATCAAATAATGAAATATAAATAGTAAAATAACTTATACCTTTTGATTGAAACGACATACATAGGAGAATTTAAATAGTATTAATTTTTTACTTTATTACTCCTTTTGTATTATCTAGTTAATCAATATCGTATTACAATATGTAATTCACTTCACAGTATACAGTCCGACAGTAATTCTGCCACTTGATTCACTTCGCGTTTTATTTTCTTTGACGATTATTTGAAGATACTTTGAAGATTATTTACTTTTGTTGGCAATTTTCCTCTTTATATAGCTTTAGTTTTTCACTTGATAATTAAAAATTCGTTTCTCTATCACTTTTTACGTATCTGAGCGTCGGTTAGAGATCAGTTGGAGGATGATGTTGGATATCAATTTGAGAACTAGGAATTTCTCCAAGATTGGAGAAATACTTTTTTTGTGTTTTTGGGTAAATTGTAGAAAACTATCACAGGTTTTAATAGAGCAAAATTACATTGAGGTGCAAATTTCTGCTGGAAAATTTTTTCTTGCGAAAACATGCAAGTAAGAAAATCGGCTGAAGAAAATACTGGATTTGTGAATTATTTATTGCGAATTTTATAAGTATTGCTAGTACGTATATTTTTTTTACTTTAAGCTTAAGTGAACATTTAAGATACCTACCCTTAAATAAGTGGCATTATTTTTAACATTTATAAGACAACAGCTCCGATAGATGCATTCAACATACCTGAACATTAGCGATACCAGCCTTCAAAAGTGTGCATCTATTATCCATTATCAAAGACAGTAATACGTTTACCTGCACTGGCTCTACACTTACCGTAATTTTACAAGATCTTAGTTATTTTGTTTATCACGCAGAACAATAGGTTCATTCCTTATCTTCTCGGACTAAAATCTGAAAAGTGTCAAAATGCCAGAGCGGAACGCAAAAAACCAAATTTTTAGTCCACAGAATGGCAACAACAAAACTAACGTCAAATAAGAACAGAAATGTATGTACAAAACACATTCGCACAAGCACAAGCACAATAAACACTTGCTATATCAATTATTTTTTGCCTCCTTCCAATTTCAATTCATTTCTTTTATTTTTTAGATTATTCTCACTTTTAGCGTATTCTTTAATTTCCGTTAATTTAAATTCAGTTGAGTTTGACACTTTTCAGGATTTTGCCAGAAAAAATTCTTCTGACTAAATCTGACTACTTCGGACTGATGAGAGTCACTCTCACTGACTGTTGCTCTCTCATTTTTGCTGTCATTTCCGAATTAAGGAACGCTTTTTGGACTAAATCTGACTACTTCGGACTTTTTCTGACTATTTCTGGGAGATAAGGAACGCTCCTAATGAAAACTAGGCATGGGTGTCAGCGCACTAAAGCTGGAATTAGTTAAGAACGTAAACCTACCGGTACGTAAACCCGAGTCAGCTGACACGATGAAAACTCAACACCGCAGAATTTTTCTGAAATCTGCGGAATTTAAATTTTTCCGTGTCAGCTGATTTCTTCCTTCAATAGATGGTTGCCACTTCGTCTGTTTTGCAGATGGTTAAAAAGTTATAAGTTCCTATTCAAAATACGTTTAAAATATTTGAAATTTACTATTGAATAAGGTTTTTTGTTGGAAAACTAAGGGCCGGTTACTCAATGTCTGGTTAACACTAATCTCCGTTTAAACATCATTATCGACGTGTTCGGCTCCATGCATATATTGAGTAACCGGCCCTAAGTAGTTTATATTTAGCTACAATCTATTATAGCAGGTACAATTGTAGTTGAAAAGGTAAGTTTATAAAAAGGCATTGATGAATGGCAGCACTGTAGTAAGCAACACTTAGGGCCGGTTGTTCAATGTCTGATTAGCACAAATCGGAGGTAGAAGCTCCGGTTAAGCACAACTACTGCTTTATCGATCACATGTTACATGCATGATGTCGAAATCGTCGATAGTGTAGTGGTAGTGATAACCAGACATTGAACAACCGGCCCTTAGGGCTCCAGTAATCGACAAAATTCTGCGTGTACAGACTGCGTTTAAGGGTCGTTTTCACCATCACCGGTTATCACTAATCCCCAGTTAAACATCTTTATCGACGTTTTCGACTCCATGCATACAACAGGGAGTCGGTAACGTCGATAACGATGTTTAACCGCAGATTAGTGTTAACCAGACATTGAGTAACCGGCCCTTAATATACGTTCTGCGTTCTTGACTAATTTCAGCTTAAAGCCAGCGTGAGCTTTTTATTTTGACCAATATCTTCGTTATTACTTCACTTTTTGCAATAGTTGATACATCAAAAAATAGAGAAATAAAATATCGTTCAGAATTATGTAATAAAAACTAATTTAAAATTCATAATATGCCTTTTTTCAAGCTCACACTCAACTGTGTAGGTATGCAAAGCATTCGCACGTGAACGACTAGCTTTGATATATGTGTGTGAGCGTCAATAAGAATATAAATGGAATTCTTTGCCTTTGCGAAAGTTCACGCTCCCGCTCACATTGAACTGTCTATCAAGCTTAACTCAGCTAAATAGCCGTGGGTAACACAGTGCGGTTGGGCGTCATTGCGCTGATACCGAGAGATGAGTTACTGGCGCCGATACCGATTGTCACAACTCAGTGACGCAATGGCGCCAGCAACACCGGGCGCAAAGAACCAGCAAAGAACACACAAAGGCGAAGTTTCACTTGTAAATGTGTTTGTTGTATTTTTGGGTTTTGAACTTGGGTATACTTGACTTGTTTTTGCCCAACCGATACCACCTTTTATTAATTCACCTTAGTTCAACACCGGAACTCTGACAACACCAGGTGTCGCAAAGAACCAGCAAAGAACACCCGAAATAGAAGGGATGTGTAGCACAAGGCGAATTTATACAAGGTGGTGTTGCTAGAATTCGTCGCGGTCCTTCTGAATGTGAAAATGATGGGTTTGTTGTAGTATTGGGTTTTGAACTTGGGTATACTTGAGTTTTTTCTCAACCGATATAACCTTGTATTAATTCACTTTGGTGCAGCGTGCAGCATTAAAGGAAATGAGCTTTAGCCTGAAGAAGCGCCGTTGCGCCAACACACTGTGCTGATTCCGACAGTGGCGCTGGAGTTAGTGTGTCAGCGCCAAAAAATTGCGCCGTTACCCAGGCCTAAAGCTAAATAGCGCAGCGTGCTGATTTAAACACGGCGCCATCTGAGGGTCAGCACAGTACCCGTCGTCGTACAGTGTAATACACCATACAGCGGTGTCATGTCTATTATTTCTTTAATTTTGGGGGCTGAGCAACGCTTGTACCGCCAACCGAATTTAGATGCTAGTATGTATGTAGTAACTGCCACGATATGTTCATCATTCTTGAGTAAAATCTTTTAATTTGCCAAGATACATAGGTTTCAACACTCAAAAGCAAAAACAAAGTACGTGTAATTTTTCAAAGAGTTAAGGCGAATTGTGTGTGTGTGTCTCATGTGTTTCTGGTGTTAATGGCGCTAGCGCTTTTCTTATATTGGTGTTGGCGCGGCAACTCCGGCTACGGTGTTAAGCTGATCCCACATAAAACTTTTGCTTCGCTTTACGTGACAGATAAGATGAATTGTATGAAAATGCACAAAGCATGCCACATAAATCGTTGAAGCTGCAGCGCGAAGCGAAAATATGGCCAACTCCCTTCTTTTAGCGCGCTTTGACAATCAACCGGTTTAATATTTATTTTGTTTCGTCCAAATTCGAGTTTTCATGCAGAAACATAAAACTTAATTACATTGCTGATAATTTTAAAGCAAAATATATAAAATCCACAAAAACTTTGATGAGTAAAAAAGCGGTACAAAATTGTTTTCTTGGCGCTCATTGTGGCATACCTTTTGCGTCTGGCGCTTTGCTGGCAAAGTTACAAATGTCTCGCAAAGCTACAAAGTTTTATCTGGCATCAGCTTTAGCGCAATTTCGCCGCGCAGCGCAGTGTTACCCATGCCTAATTAAAAATCTTATGCCAAAACGTTGGCTGTGAACAATATTTTTTTTGAACGTCTGCCAACACGTTCTTAAGGTGAAATTGGTCAAGAACGTAAACATACCGGTACGTAAACCCGAGTCAGCTAACACGATCTGTTTTACCAAGCTCCATGTAAATGAAAATTCAACATCGCAGAATTTTTCTGTAGTTGTAGCCCGTAGCGCAGAAAACTGCGGAATTTAAATTTTTCCGTGTCAGCTGATTTCTTCCGTCTATAGATGGTTGCCACTTCGTCAGTTTTGCAGATGGTAAAAAAGTTATAAGTTCCTATTCAAAATACGTTTAAAATATTTGAAATTTAGTATCGAATAAAGTTTTTGTTGAGAAATAAGTATTTATATTTAGCTAGCATCTATTATCGCCATATATGTAATACTTCTATATTGGCAGTAAGCTAACT